TAAAAAAAAATTAAAAATAAATAAATAAATAAATTAGCAGAGCAGAGTACTGGCACCAGGGTTTCCCCCTATCACTTCATTTTTACTCTCTTTTGACAGATGGACAGTCTCACACGGCATATCAAGTGTGATAAGTCAGGGCAATGAGCAGAGGCTAGAATGCAGACCTTGTCTGGGCAGCACAGACATAGAGGGGAAAATCCATCCCGTGCTGCCCAGAAAGGAATACAGAAGTTAAAGGGGTACTCTTCCCTGATGCCATGCCTATGAGGGACACAGGTGCTGATGTTTGTTTTTGTTTGATTTAAACTAAAAGGCCATATCCATTTGTCCAAACAACATTTGCTCCATAGAGAACCAGGGTACTTTGGCACCAGGGAGCCTCTGGTTAAGAGAAACAAATGGTTCAGAAAGGAAAATTAAGGGAAACTTTCATATATTCAGCAGAGAACGTAACTGCTGGCCAGCAGGGTAAAACCCTGGGCAACTCACATCTAAGAGACTTTCAACAGACTTATTCATTTTGGAGGAATAATTATACATGGAGAACGTTTCCCAAACCCAAGGTCAGAGTTTGTGTGGTTAATAGGAAATTAGAGAATCCTGGGAGGCGAACCTCTCTAGTTAGAAGGAGACAGTGAGTAGGATGGGGAAGCATCATGGGCTGCTGTGTGGACGTAGGTGCTAGTGCTGGAACACAGCGGAAGGATCGCCATGATCCCAGGAAGAGGCAGGAGGCATTTCTGAAATAAAAAGGTCTGAAACCGCAGACAGCCATTGAAGAAAGAGGGCATAAAACTGGGGGTGGGTTGAGTGACAGAAGTTTGCCAAAAATGAGGTGACTTTTAGAGGATACATAGTAGACTAAAAGGAAAAATTACCTGCTTTGCTTATCCATTACATAAACCAGCTGTGCAAAAATATCTATGAGCTAAGGTTAACAATGGAACTGAATCTAGCATTAGGATTTTAGGAGAAAGCATTTTCACTTCAAGCAATAGAACTTTTTAAAATGTGTGCTGGCATTCTCAATTTGTGCTCTTCATAGTTCGTAAACAAAGAGAGCTAACATACAAAAGCTTTCCATTAAAGTATCAGATTGTAATGGCAAAATAATATCCTGATAAATAGAAAACCTCTCTTTCATTTAACCCAGTAGGAATCTCAAGATTTCAAAATTCTCTGTGGCATCTATAAAAGCATGATGAGAAAATTTGGGGTTTGGTTTTTTGGGGTAGGTAGGGAGTAGCACAAAATTTTATATTATATTATATTATATTATATTATATTATATTATATTATATTATAATTTTCAGACACTTCTCTGTATTTCGGTGACAGCAATAAGACATGCGCTGGAGGAAATGAATGCTAGCAGAGTTTTCTCTACTGGAGCACCTAGAGCTGAGCTGTGATTTAATAAGCTAGCATGTCCCAGAATTAAAGAATATTTTTTGATAGAAGGAAATAACCTTCAGGGTTTGGAAGACGTTTTCAAAAGCAAAAGTGTTTTTCACCAGAAACATAATATTAAGTTACAAATGATCTGTAACACCTGCCATTCATCTGTGCTTAGGGAAAAAATAAAAAGTTGGGCAATAAAGGTATGAAGCCTGTGCTGCGTGGAAATCATGGAAATGAGGACGCACCACTGGCAAAGAGATGCAGGAGGCCCCTCAAGCCCTGGCCAGAGGCTGGTGAAGGGCAGACAAACATCCTAACAAGGAGAAGCACTCAGAAGACTGCACTCAGTGCTGAAAATAGCAAACACACACACATACACACACAACAGATGGAGGGAGGGAGAGAGAGAGAGAGAGAGAGAGAGAGAGAGAGAGAGAGAGAGAGA